CACAAAAATATACTTTCTGTATTATTTTTATTCAGTCCAACAGCATAATAATATACAAGTTTTATATATCATTATTGCTAAACTCAGCAAATATGAACAAATTACAACTGCAAGTAAAATAACTATGCTATTTTATTCAGGTATACCATGACTTGTCACAAATGGCCAATGCAAAAACAAGGGGATTCCACCCCTCACAAAAAAATATCACTAAAAAAACTTATTTGATTTGAGCTAGACAATATTTAGATATTGCGTTTGGTTTATTATTCTATTCTTTCTTTCACGTTATTAGCTTCATGCATTTGATTGTAGGAAAAAAGTCACAGGAAACAAGTCACAATTATATATTTCATGGAATTTGTTAATACTTGTATGTGTTAAATATTCAGAGAGTGCAAATCAACTTAAGACTAAATAAATGTTACGTATTGTGCGTAAGTTGTATATGAATAGTAATATTTATAGCAAACGTAAAAATATTTAGTATGAAGTGTGTAGGCTTTAATTCCGCTATACATATAATATCTAATAGAATTTAATAGAATGTTCCAGCCTTTTTGGTTTTCGTCGAAGCTTTGAAATTTGCGTGAAATGGCATAAAGACGTTGCTAATCTGACTTGCTGCCATCAACTCACTGCATCTATAATTCAAACACCTTTTCTGACCACATTCATCACGCTCATTACGTAACAAAGTATAGGATCAAAACAGAAAGCCGACACAGTACAAAGGCTGGCTTTGACGCAAAACCTCAACAGATAATATGCACGGACAAGGCCCACTGAGGAGAAGCCGACCAAGGAATTTCCAACAGCAAAAAACTAATATGCAAAAAAAAATGTTCCAAAATTTCTTTTGTAATTAATTTGTCTACCGCCTATTTAACTAAATGCATAACAAAAGTTGAGGTTTCTGTGTAAATTACATCATATTCTTTTTACATATTATTTTTATAAACCATAATGCTTTTAAGTTGATAAATATGCTACCAAAACAAAAACAACTCACACCAATAAACACCCGCAATTTTACAATTCTCAACAATTAAATAAAAATATTTCCTAAAAGACTTTTGTGACTTTTCTTGTGTGACTTTATTTTTGTGACTTTTTTCCAATAAAATTTTTCCTGTGACTTTTTTTCATTCACTGCGCATTTTTTATGCATCTGAACAGATAGATTAACCAATTATCTATTATATTTGACACAAATATATCACAATATTCTTGTATTTATATTAAGTCAGGGTAATCCCCCAGTATAGCGAATTAAATTATCCAGTAGGCCTAATGTTTATTGAGTTTCATTAACATTAGTTACTGTATACCATGAAATAGAGTGAATTTAAAGAAATTTATGGTTTAACATAATTATACCTGTAATCAACATAAGCAAACAAATAGTAGATGTAAATTAGTTGTAAATAGTAAAGTCAAGTGTAATAATTAGTTCAATGTTTTTCTTTGAAACACTGAAATAAAATACTTGCATAAGATTTGCGACAATCCATTACTACAATCACGACAATTAGATCTAGGCCTAGATATAGTAAAAATGATAACGAAAATAGTATAAGTGCCTAGAAAAATGTCAAGATGCAGCAATAATTATCCAGAAACGCTAAAAAATAATTAACAATACAAAATGATTAGTAAAACAGTATTTAACTTGCAATTAAACATTCTCTATTTCAAATAAACATGTTGCCAAAAAAAGGTATGGTTTGCAGTACTTCAGGTAGATTCTGGAATAGCCTTTCAGACTACGCCATTGTTTTACTGTTTTTCACTGCTATACCATTCCGGAATAATAACCTACGCTATACTGGGGGATTACCAAAATCAGATAAACTAGTCACCTTTCTTTCACATTACTAGTTTGGACAATTTTTATGGTCCTAAAACTATCGATTACCATTAAGATACTTTAAACTAGGCCTATTTCTATAGTAATTAGTATTATACTATAGTATAGTGACATAGTTATTATTTTATTATTATTATTGTTCTCTAGATGTTAGGGCTATCTGATTAGTGTTTGTTTATTGTAAAGGCCTACCACTAATTTAATATGTGACTATAGGCCTATGTACTGTCCTTACGCACTCTGTGCACTAGTAATACTAGTAGGCCTATACACACTATCTATATCTTGATCTAGTAAGTAGACTACGGTGGGTCTTGGTAAAACGCATAATGGCGAGACGTTTGTTCAGCGGCGTAGCTAGGATTTTTGGGCCCCTATGCAAAGATTATCAGTGGGCCCATTTGTCCGCTGTTGGACTTAAACAGAGTGAAATTTAGAAATTAACTGCAACTTCCGATATTAAGGCGTGACACCATGACGGAACATTGTAAAATTTACTGAAAAAATAATGTATCCAGCTAAAATAATAAAAAAGTCAGAGAGGTTAGGACATCCCACCGAAAATGCAACGTTGTTGGGGACTATGAGGGTGACACCTTTGGTAAACGCGTAGGGGAACACCCGACCTTGTGACGCCACTAACACATTTAAAAAGAAACTGCTCATGATTTATTAGATCTGTTTTTTCTGAAGCTTTTTATTTTGAAAAATGATTAATAAGTTCTTTGAGAACTATTTAGCTGCTTCTGTATTTTAGTTTTAGGTACCTCAGGAAGGCTAAGTTACTGGCCCAATGGGCATATCTACAAATTGTTTCATAACAAATTAACAGCATCATAATAAACATATAATAAGATTTCATCAAAGACATCAAAAACTCCTATCGGATCACAGTGGAATGTTAAAGAATGTTTATCTGTAGCTAGCATACCCGTCCGCGTTGCTGCAATCTAGTCCCACATACCACTGTAATGCAACACTTTGTAAGGGTTTCACCAACACGTTAGCAATTGTGTATTTGTAGTCCTGTTACCTTATTTTCTAAAACTGAGATAGTTAAAAGGTAAACAAAGCCACTGTTTTTCCCCCCGTATCTTTGTTGCTGGGACGCGGTTTTGCCCACACTACCGGTCAGGCGCCCATTGGTCGTGCTGTATGAAAGTATTGAGTATACGTTAACCATTCTCCGTAATACTGAGGTTGAATACCTTTCGGCGACCGCCTAAGGGTGTCGCGGGAGTTAATGGTTACATTACCTTAGGTAGCCGGATGCTACCTCTGGTTCGGTTTAATCATCATACGTAGAGGCCTACCGTGAGATGCTCCTGTGAGATGTGATCCGTAAGCCGAGTGCGCCGCAGTCCGCCCCTGTTGCAGTTTAATCTTTGAATTAGTAGTACCCCTGCAGGACACGCAATCAAACGATTTCTTGCATTCAGGTAGCCACTGGCTATCTCGAGGCGACCTACCTTTACTACTGCTGGTGCGCTGGAGGACACCCCTTATTTGATTTAGTTATCAATTTTAGTATCCTTAGTGAATGGCGCTCATTAAAACGAATATAGGCGTCGAGAGCTAACGTGGTAACCCAGGGCACACCAAGTAACGCGACCGCCGGAACGCCGGCTGATGCTCCTGTGAGATTTTGACTGCTGCGCCGACATTCATTGAACGGACCCCAGGTGCAAAGATACCCGCTGGGAAATTGAGTAGCAAACAGCACCGTCTTACTGACGGGGCGCCGTCATCCATAAAAAAAATTAATGCTAGAAACCTTCCCAAATACCAGAGTTTCTTATCAGGCACGTTTTCAGAAAAATTCCTTGGTAAAAAAAAAAAACACTGCCTGGAGTATTCTCAACAACTTCCCAAATTTTCTTGGCGATTGGATGACAACCAAAAACTTATAGTTATAGCGTTAGTAGTGTCATATGGGCCCTGTTCGACCCCCCTCCCATACACACACACTGAATGCCAATGCATGTACAGTAATAAAGGATTTGGGGCAGTAGCGTACGCATGGGGGGGGGGGGGAGCAGCCGCTCCCCCTCTGGCCATTTTTAGCAAAGTGGCGCCTTTTTGGAAACTGCTTATACTCAAAGTTTTAAACATTGATATTTGTTAAAAATTATCTTTGGTCGGCACATTTGAAACGTAAATCTCTGTGAATATTGTTCTTGCAATTACCAGTAAAAGGTGTGTGAGCAATACAGTGATCTAACCCATACCTTCTCATTATGTCAAAAAATTATCTTTAAAGAACACTAAAAGTCAGTAGCTAATTAAAAAGTGCATGATCTGAAATGTAAGACTGATATTTTAGTTATATGTAGGCTATTATTCCGAATCTTTTACTGCTATATTTAGAAGCTGGGTTTTATACCAACTCTGATTTAAAAAACTTTTGTTATGCTGTAAAAGTTTAGCATTTATGATGACAATATATTTAATTCTGATTGTAGATAAAATATTTTTGTAAAAACGAATAGTGTTAAAACTTTATTAGATTCTTAAGTAGTTATTGATTTGTTTTGATATTTATAATAAAATATGTAGACATATACATATTTATATTAAGATATTATTTCCCCTTTTCGCTATGCATTTTTTTTTACAAGGATTACGAAACAGATTATGCCGTTTATTGTTTTTGGTTCTAGTGTGATTATATATATATATATATATATATATATATATATATATATATATATATATATATATATATATATATATATATATATATATATATATTTCTTTAGTATGAAACCATTTTTTTTTGGTTCATCGGCCTACATTGTGTTTTTTTTTTTATTTCTTCAGAGTGCTAATTTAAATTTATTTTACATCATATCGAAAAATATCATACAGCTAATATATATATATATATATATATATATATATATATATATATATATATATATATATATATATTTATACATATATACTTATATAGAATAATTACAAATTCTGCGCTTTTTTTGCTATTTCCGCTCCCCCTACACCGAAAACCTGGATACGCCTCTGATTTGGGGCCTTTTTGGAACTTAAAATTATTTCTACAGTAGAAAAGAAACTGAATTTCCTTTTTCTTTTTAAATTTATTTACATAAAACAATTATTAAAATGCCGATGTTGAAGTTTTAGTTGTTTTTTAAGAGGGAAAAAGGGCCCCTATGTGCTTTGGGCCCCAATGCCTTGGTTACGTTAGCTTAACGGTAGCTACGCCACTGCGTTTAATTACGAGAAGTGTGTGAAAACGGCATGTCACATGACATTTTTGTCTTGCATTTTAGCCATTGCTTGATGTGTATAAAAAGCGCTGATATCTATGAAAATTTTACTTCATCAGAATCCTAAGGTGCCGATGATTAACATAAACTTTGATGCACATTTTTAAACACTTTATTTAAGTTTGTATTTTTATATTTATAATGTAGCCGCTCACCGTAAATGTATTTCAAGTCAAATGAATCTCATCTGATGTTCAAATTTTTACCAAACTTGAAATTAGTCGATGATTGAATAAGATTTGTGAGTACTTTGAATAACACGCCATTCTAAGCAGCTTGAAATAGGGCCCTTTGTTTTTTACTTTCTCATATACGAAGTATAGAGGAAGTTTTGTAATCGTGCCAAAATCAAAATCGCGAGATTTTTACAAATCTCGACGTTTTACACCTCCATGAGTCGGAAAAACATAGTTTTGCACTTTTGTCTGTGTATGTGTGAGTGTGTATGTATGTGCGTCTGTGAACACGATAACTTGAATACCATTACAGCTAGGTTGATGAAATTTCATATTATATCAAATTTGTTTAGAGAAAAGTACAGAAAATTCCGATAAAAACGCCAATAAGAACTGATTATCTGATTCAAAATGTCCAAACTATCTGCTAAATATATAATTCGAGTTGTTATACAATTAAGGGTATACTTTATCACACAGTATTACTTTTTTTTATAAAATTACGGGTCATAATTTGCTAAAAATAAGTCGAAAATATGTCCTTAATCTCGGCCCGATTTTAATTTAGAAATGGTGCACATTTATTAACGTTTTTCAGCGATCTAACACTAAATTATTTTACCGAGAATATTTCTTTTTAAATGTAGATTAACTGTAGTTACAAATAAATAACCTTTTTTTTTTTACAAATCCATAATGTTTTAGTGATTTTTTTGTCGATGATAAAATACTGAGTTAAGCCGTGTTGAGGTATACAATTTTCACCCCCACCTTATTTTCTCTAATCTGGACACTTAACTGCATGATTTATAACACTCGATTTAATTTACATAATAAGTGATATTTTCCCTTTTAAATTGATTAAAAGGTGATCATCGTGCATGCAATAGAAAAATTCTAGTGATTTTGTGAAAGTTGGTGATTTTTTTCTTCCTTTCAAAATTTTGTTAAATATTGCATAGGCGTAGAGAGGGGGGGGGGGGGACATATGTCACCGGTCGCCGACCTTAATGTGCGCCAACATGGGTTGGAAAAACAAATCGAAAGTTTGGGTGTGGGGGGGGGGGGTGTGGGGTGCAAATCGAAAGTTTGTCCCCGGGCGCCGGGAAGGGTCGCCACGCCTCTGAAATATGGTGTAGTACGATTTTTAAGACACATTTTTTTTCATAAAAAACGTTTTAATAACCATCTTTTATGTAATAATGCACTAAAAAGTAGAAAATAAATTATACACTACTATTTATACATTTACTAAAAAGAAAAGCGTGGATCACTTTAGTATCTATTGGATACCTTTACTAATATTTAGGAAGATATCCACGCTTTTCTTTATAGTAATTTAAATAGTAGTGTATAATTTATTTTCTACTTTTCTATCTAGTGATTTATTAAATAAAAGCTTGCTATTAAAACGTTTTTTTAATGAATTTTCTAGTACTTTACATGTTTTATTTACACTACAGTAGAGTTGCACGACTAAAAACCATTGCGCACCTTTGAACGTGATGACGCCCTATTGAACATGATGACGCCCTATTGAGAGTGATGATGCGTATATAATGGCGCGGAATAGTTTGTTGAGACAGCCTACTAATTCGGACAAAATTTTAATTAATTCATAAAAAATTAATTAGGCGACCAATTAAGACAAATTGAATGTCGTGATGCATTGTCTTCATGTCTTGACCCACGTACCAATTACGAACCGTACCTGTCAGTTAGTTTCGCTCGTGCGGTTCGATCTAGACAGACAGACTGACGAAGAAGTGAGTTAAATAAAAGCTTGTAAAAAAAAATTCATAAATTTATTTTTAATAACAAGCTTTTATTTTTATGTAATAATGCACTAAAAAGGAGAAAATAAATTATACACTACTATTTAAATAACTATAGAGAAAAGCGTGGGTCACTTTAGTATCTATTTAGTAAGAGACCCACGCTTTTCTTTATAGTTATTTAAATGGTAGTGTATAATTTATTTTCTCCTTTTTCGTGCATTATTACATAAAAGCTTGTTATTAAAACGTTTTTATGAAATTTTTTTTAGTACTTTACATGTTTTATTTACACTAGAGCGACATGACTAAAAATCATTGCGCACCTATTTATCGTGATGACGCGTGTTTAATAGCGCGGAATAGTTTGATGAGGCAGCCTACTAATTTGGACAAAATTTTAATTAATTTGTAAAAAATCAATTAGGCAACCAATTAGATCTAAGTCAAATTTAATGTCGTTTCATTGTCTTCATGTCTTGACCCACGTACCAACTACTAACCGTATCTGTCAGAAGTGCCTGCAATTTCGCTCGGGCGTTTCGATCTAGACAGACAGACTGACGACAGAGGGAGTGAGTTAAATAAAAGATTGTAAAAACGTAAATCTTTAACTTGTTATACTAGTTTGAAAAAAAAATGAGGACTTCAATTGATCTACTCTTTTATTGAAATTAAGTTAGAGAACGGGTATAGCTTTTAGAATTATTAGTACTATACAGAAAAACCAAAGCCATTATTCATTGTGTGACTGATTTGAAAAATCAGTTTGTAGTAGGCGTACCTAGTACTAACGATGTTTATCTATAGTCGGTTATTTATTAATACAGCTGGATGTAGCAGGTTTACGTCATGGTGTCGTTGTCGTCGTCCCCCCCCCCCCCCCCTTGTCGGGATTTGTCAACTTTGCTCTTAAAAGTCTATTTAACTCTAATTAATCATTTATTTAACTGGAATGATAATTCTATTCTGTAAGTATTTTGCCTTGGTGTCGCCCCCCCCCCCTCTAAATGGTGTCACCCGGTGCTGTTCCCACCCCTCGGCTACGCCTCTGGCAATAGACCTACAGTTTTAGTACATAAGGTTTTTATATATTAATCACTGTAGACCTAGGGCCTAGATCTAGCAATCTAGATTATATAGGTTTATAAATATAATTATATAGGGCTAAATCTAGGCCAATAGTTAGTAGAAACTATTTTATAGGCCTTAATCTACAACACTAACTAGGAATGTTCATTTATAACAGTTTTTGTATTTAACTGAAAGGCAAATACACAATGTATCAGGCGCAAGGTCTCATTGTTTCAACATGGGTTTTGCTGAGTATTCTTCATTTTTATATAGATCTACTACCAGTGAATGGCAGCCTAAATTCCAAGGTTTGGCTATAGGCTTTATAATTAATCTAAATTATTTGATAATAGGCCTAATTATATTCTACGTTATATTATCGATAAATAACAACTTTAATTTTATTACGCTTATTTGTGTAGGCCTATTTATTTTGAGTAATTTAAGTCTATTCCTAGCATTTTTGAGTTAACAGGCCTAATCAATGGATGCAGCCCTGTTTAATCCGTAAGTTATTTTTTTTTTCAACTAAGCCATCAAAATGGCTGTGCAAAATATAAAAAAAATCAACAATTTAACTTTAAGCCTGAAAAAAAAAAAGTCAGAAATTTTTTTATTTTTTGTTATAAAGGCTTCAAATGCAGAGAACTGGAAAATATTTTTTTGGCGTTTAAGGCTGTTTCTAGTTATTTTTATGACGACTAAATAACGAATTTAAAACATGAAATTTAACTCTCCTAAGACAAACATTGATTAACTGTACACAGTGATCAATCTTCTGAAAATCTCATAGCCAGTAACATTAAAAAATAGAGCTTATTTAAAAAAAAAAACCTAGTTATGATTTACACCATGTTTATTTACATTTTCAGTAATTAAATTAAAAATATGTTTTATGCTTTTAAAAAATACTGTTTAGTTATTGACTATACTAAAATATAATGATAAATACATCCAGTCTTAATTAAAAATCTGACAAAAACCCCAGAATATAAAGTTTTATAACCACAATTATTTTAGTAACACTGTACAAGATTTTATAATATTTCATAACCCATTCGAGACTATTCACGGCTGCACCCATTGAACAATTCTATTTTACAATGCACTTAAATTAAAATTGTTTTTCTAGCATATTGACAGTAAAACAAAAAATGTGCACAGATATTCAGCTTCTGTGAGTTTGAATGACCCTTTTATCCTGGTGGCTAAAAAGAACTTTTGCAATGCTGAAATTAAAAAAAATGATATTAACTCGTATATAATGGCTGATACGCATTTACCAACTTTAAATGAGGCACAAAACAAGGAAATTAAGATGAGCAAATTTATAACAAGCAACTTTATTCGTCGAAGTATGGAAGGTCTTGAAGAAATACTAGACAACTCACGAGTGAAAGTTTTTGAAAAAATTGGTGGAGTGATGAATCAGGTATTGTTCTGTTGTACTGATGGTGTAAGTTTTAATTGGGGTATTTCTAAACCTAAAATTCTGACAGCAACTTTAAACATGTAAATAAAATTACGTGAGAGCAGATAATAGTGTATCATGTATAACTTAATAAATAGCACAAAAATATTATATATGTACCAAGCCTTCTGCTCTACCATTACCAAATAGCAGAGGCGTAGCGACCCTTCCAGGCGCCCGGGGACAAACTTTCAATTTGGCACCCCCCCCCCCAAACTTTCGATTTGCACCCCACCTCAAACTATTTATAATTGATTTTTCCAACCCATGTCGGCGCCCGGGGACATATGTACCCCCGCCCCACCCACCCCCCCCCCCCCCACCCTCGCTACGCCTCTGCCTAATAGGCCTATAATCTTTTATTATAAATATTTCTACTAGCAACCCAACTCAATTTAACACACTCAAACCACAACACAGTATGTTTCTATAATAATGTTGGAATCTTAAAAATAAATTACAGTGGTATTGCCTAATATTACAGAAAATCACAAGTCAATAGTGCTAATTTGATATTTAATTTTTTTTTTTTAATAATCATGTTATTCATTATTTCTAGCTTTTCACGGGTTTCTAGCGTTAAAATCACCAACATGGAAAGTATAAGGAACATATAACATTTTTTTGTCGGTGGATGTCAATTTATTTTTGCTGTCCCAGGTTACAATTGGGTGTAACGTAATATATATGTAAAAATTCTATCAGCTGATAAACAATGTTTCTTTTAAAACCTAAAATACTACCAGAGCGCCACGAGGACGCCTCTGGTTGGATTTTCTTCTCAATCGTATTAGCACACTGTTTCCTAGTTTAGGGAGATTTTTAAAACTACTGTAGGCGCCATAGTGCTCATGTCATACGACTGTCATAGCAAATTGTCGGTTGCTACTACTTGAATCAATAGTTAAACTAATCCAGGGGCGGCCTCCGGCGCCCTTGACTTGGGTTATTGTGGGCTTCTAAATTCGATGCTAGTCGGCGCCCCTGAGACATTGTAACCATGTTTCCATAGAGTGGTTCTACTTTATTACACTAGGAGTACGTGGGTAACTATAATCGATGAATACATTGAACCAGCAGCGTTTTATAGTGCCCTCGTATGAGTGTAGGTTAGGCGCCTCGAGTTCATCAGCACGTGGGGTCCGTTGATTGGACGGACAACACAGGTGGTTAGAGGTACTGCTTAATTCAAATGGTCAAATTGCATTTGGAGCGACCTTCAGCGCCATAGCGATCGCGCGATGGGGTGTGCCCAGGCGCCTTTGTTCTTTTTAAAGAATGCGCCACACTAAGAAAACGGACCAGGGGCGTAGCGAGTGGGGGGCGAGGGGTGCGGACCGCACCGGGTGACACCATTTAGGGGGGTGACACCAAGGCAAAAAAAAGCAAAATATATATAGAAAAAGTCGAGGGGGGGGGGTCAAATCGAAAGTTTGAGGGGGGGGGGGGGTTGCACATCGAAAACTTGAAAGTTTGTCCCTGGGAAGGGTCTCTATGCCTCGGGGGGGGGGGGGGGGTGACACCATTAAGTGCCGCACCGGGTGACACCCGACCTCGCTACGCCACTGAAACGGACTACTACAATTTAGGATGAAATCCTACAAGAGGCGTCTACCGGCGCCCTGGTAGTAATTCAGCTCTAGCACGCAGAGTTCTCACACGGCTATCTTTGCACCTGGACTCTGTTGATTTTGGCTTCCTCCAATGAGGGTCAGGGGTGCTAAAATAAAATAAAATTAAACCACCCGCGTCCTCCTGGGGTCAGATAACGGTGCGTCACAGTCTCCCAAAAGAGCACTTAGGCAACTACAATAATTCACCTGCTGCTCCCTTAGAACAGTTTCGAAAACTAGCATGACATTTGACCTGTGTAAGTCTGCTATACAATATTGTCTTTGATAATTAAGAAGAAACAATAATCAAAGTAAGAAAAAATTAGATAATGGACACTTTAATTATTTATTTCAATTGGTCCCTCTGGGGGCAAAGGACTGCAATCACACCCCTCCGTTCGACTTCGTTTTGTGCTGCTCTCCTTATCTGAGCCCATCGGCCTTTGCCTCTCCCTTACTGTTCTTTTCCATAATTTCCAAGGCCGGTCCACTTTCCTCCTTCCTTGGGGACTTCAATCCAAAGCTTTTCATGTTTTGACTTGTCATCTTATTTTGAAGATTTGTCGATAATATCTGTTTGTTAACGACTGCACCCTGTCTGTTTTTGCGTGGTAACATGTCAAACGCCTTTTCGAAGTCTACAAAAGTCATGAGTGTTTGTGTGTGTGTGGGGGGGGGGGGGGGGGGGTAATAGCCACTTAAGGGATTGTTCAATAACGATGTCGAAACCAGCCTGTTCTAGTCAAATTCTTTGCCTAAGCCTCTAGGATGATTCTTGTCAGCATCTGACTTGCAACTGAAATATGAATTATCCTTTTTCAGTTGTTGCTATGTTACAGGACTCTTTACTTTGGTAGTTTTTTCAGGTAACCCCGTTTCCAAGCAAATGGGATATCATCTTCCCAAATCTGCTTAACTTAAGTAGAGGTTGTAATATATCTGTAGATATGGCTGGGTTTGCTTTGAGTGCCTCTAATGCAGTGTTTCTTCCAGACTTTTTTCTCCGGGGGGGGGGGGGGGGGGAATCGCGGACACTAGTAAAAGTATGTTTATTATATAAAATCCATCTCGTTCGGGGGGGGGGGGGGGCGGTAGACTTTCTTCGAAGAGATGCGAGGAAGAAACTCTGCTCTAATGGAAGGAATGCTTGGCCAGAAGCGTTGCCATTTATGAAAAATTGCCCTTACTATTTGTGGGGGGGGGGGGGGGGGGACGACACACCTGTACTCTTATTTAGTAGGGAATTAGCTTTTCTTTCTTCTTCTTCTTCGTTCTTAATTATTAGTGTTGAAGGGGATCGAGATTTATCTGCCAGTGGGTTTGAACTCGAGACTTTGTTCGAGTTTATCAACCATGAGCTTTTTGCCGACTCGACCACGCCTTCAACACAATTAAGCGTTACGTGTCAACTGGTTATGCACCATTGAGGCCATTGACTCCGATTTCAGCCTGCTTTTCTTTTTGGATTTGCTTCCATAGCCTTTGTCCAACCAAGAACAAACTACAAGGCAGCAGTTGATTTTAATTTTGGAGTTGTCTCTCCTAGAAGAGTGGCTGTCCCCAGCTAACGAGCCTCATCTGCCCGAGGGTTCGAACTCGAGACTTTTCGGTTTAACAACCATGAGCTTTACCGACTCGACCACGCCGACCCAATTAGCTTTTGATATATCGGTAATAGTTGATGAGAGAGGTTGGTTTAGAATACCCTCAAAGTGGTGGACCCATCATTCTCTGTTCTGTGTCACTTTTCAGGATCATTCATTCCTATTTTATTTTTATCCACTGATTTGGATACATTTTCTTGCCTGAAAGTAGTGAAAGGGTTCTGGTTACTTCGTAGTGCTTTCATGTTATCTTGCCCAGTTCTGCCTCTGCAGTTATCTCTTGGATGAACTGTCTTTTGTCTTCTCTTGCACTCTTCCTGGCCATGCGAATTACTTCCCAATATTGTGCTCTGAGGTTTATTTTCTCATTGTCGTGCTTGCATTATCTTAATGAATCTTATGTTTTCTCTTTTCTATCTTCAAACTTGGCGCATGTCTCTGGTTTTGTGCATTCTTTTTGCTCATTTTGTTTCTTTCTCAGTACATAGCTCCTGTATTCCTAGCCATGGTTGCTCAGCGGTTTCTGCTGACAGTGCTTCATACCTTTTTTAAAAAAACCTTTTAACTGATCAGTTTATTCTTAAGATTGTTAAGATATGTTATATTGTATTTTAAGTGCGGTTTATCAACTTGATCCCTGAAGGATTTTAGTTTAGTTTTTAATCTTGCTACCACGAGTTGGTGGCCTGAGGCCACGTGAATTATAGTCCTATTTGTATATATAATTCTCTTCATGGAGACCATAGAAAACACCAAGCTGTAAGCGCGCCTAGCAGCCCCCTTTCTTCCTCTCTAGGCATATCCCTATCACCCCACATGGTCTGGTGAGCTGTGGTTCACGCTAAATGTTTACAATCGTAGTCGGGTTTAGTGACGGCTATTAGGGGAAAATAATTTAGTTTGAAACGATTTTAAACTTAAGGGAGGTAACTAAGAGGCGGCTGTTTTCACGGCGGGAGAAGGGGTGTAGGGCAGGGGTTAGGGGAAAGGAGGGGGGGTATCGCTGTTATCGACCTTAACGACCTACTGATGTGATGGTGTTTTAAAGCAAATATTTTCAGTGTCAGCATTGGTACTGTCAAATTCACAAATTATTAATTACTGAAAAGTAGAAAATAAAACAACTAAATAGCGGCATATGATACGCCGCGAGTCGGCTCGTATATTTTAATGTTAAACTTGTTTGAGAAAAATCTTTCATAAACGAGAAAAATGGCCCGTTGAGGAAGGATACAACGGGCGCTAGGTTGATAGTGCTGTCTATTTTTCTCTAAACTAAAACCAAAATCACCACCTTAATTCAATTTAACCGGAAACGAAAAATGACATTGAAAACGGATTTTTATCCAGAATCGGTACTTTAATTTATACAAAATATAGTCATAGGCATATCCCTAAACCATGCACCTAATCTCATTCATGACAAAAGTCGCATTTAGAGTTTCTTTCAGGCAACTCTACTTGGAAGGAGGGCGCTCCGCCCGCCCCCCCCCCCCCCCCAAACACACACCCCAAAACATGTCTACCGTCCCATTCAACGAAATATAATTATATACTTTTTCCAGCGCCCGCCCCCTCCCAGAAAATTCTACCCCCGCCCCCCCCCCCCCCAAAAAAATAAATTCAAGTACCCCCACCCCTCGCCGGGGAGGAAAAAGTCTGAAAGAAACACTGGTCACATTTGTAGATCATACAAACTAAAGGAAGAACCTGGGCGGGGAAGAGATGCATGAAAAAAAAAACTGTGCTCGCTAAACACTTTTTAGATTAGAAAAAGTTCCTCCCTCCGGGAAAGAAAAAGCCTAAAAGAAACACTGGTGTCGCGCTTAGCCACTACCCGAAGAATCGCATGAAAGAAACTCTTCACGCAAACTATTTTTAGATTAGACACATGAATTAGGCTGTAATTTTACTATAGAGTATCGATGATGACATTTCTTTTGAGTTGGGGGGGGGGGGGGTAGTCGGCTTAGACGTTCTTACGCGGGGGATGGGCTTCGCCCCTACCCGAAGAATTGTATGAATGAAACTCTTCTCGCAAACCACTTTTAAGATTAGACAAAATTGGCTTTTTAATTCAATGTTTACTCGAGAATCAATGACGTCATATTACGTCATATTACAGTGTGCACTCTCCGGCTTGAGATTATTTTCTACTATATGCTCCAATGTGACGTCATATTTCGTTTCCGTCTTACTGTGAAAGTTTTTAATTTGCTTGTGTTTTCTCTAGAGCAGGGGTCGGCAATGCGGTTCTTTTGATATCAAGATGCGGCTCTCCAGCTCCTTGCACAAATACTAATAATCTTAATAAAAAAAATATTTGAAATTAAAAATGTTAGTGGCTCTTTAAAACCAGGGAAATTTTAAAAATTGTAACTTTTGGCTCTTCCGCTTCAAAAGGTTGCCCCTGCTCTAGAAATACATAGACAGACAGCGAAACTATTAGTATTAATTAGTTATTGGTCAAAACGCAATGTTTTTTACTACACGTTGAACAATATTAGTAACAAAGCAAAGAAATAACTAGGCCTACATAGCTAAAAATGCGACACATTTACATTTAAAATAACATAGTTTCACGGCGATGTGATGAGAGGTGTAGTAATGCATAAAGGACAAACAGACACACATACATTGCTTTATATATACATAGATAGGTAGATAGGTAGATAGATAGATAGATAGATAGATAGATAGATAGATGGATGGATGGATGGATGGATGGATAGATAGATAGATAGATAGATAGATAGATAGATAGATAGATAGATTCTTCTTTCTTCTTCTTCTTCGTTCTTAATTGTTAGTGTTGGGAGGGATCGAGCCTTATCTGCCAGAGGGATTGAACTCGAGACTTTTTCAAATTTATCAACCATGAGCTTTTGCCGACTCGACCATACTTCCATCACAATTAAGGATTACGTGTCAGCTGGTTATGCGCCATTGAGGCCATTAACTCCGATTTCAGCCTGCTTTTCGAATAAAATAGTTCATTTTTTCATATTCTTAAATTGGAAGATGACGCCATTAGTTATGCGTACTTTCATTCAATAGTTTACATGTGTCATCGTGTTTTTTTTTCCGAATATGCCTTTATTTTTATTTTCCATCTTTAAATTCAGTTGATACATTTAAAACATCCAGTGGCGTAGCGAGGGGGGGGGGTGCGGACCGCCCCGGGTAACACCATTTAGGGGGGTGACACCAAGGCAAAAAATAGCAAAATATTTAGAGAAAAATTATAATTCCACTTAATTAAATGATTATTTGAGTGTTTAATAGTCTTTTAAGGGGTGCAAATAGAAACTTTGAGGGGGGGGGGGGGGGGGTGATGCAGCAAATCGAAGATTGAAAGTTTGTCCCCGGGAAGGGTCGCTACGCCTCTGGGGGGTGACACCATTAAGTGCCGCACCGGGTGACACCCGGCTTCGCTACGCCACTGAAAACATCTAACATATTATCAACAAAAGTCTGTATCTTTAAGTTCTCTATGTATCGATGAACATACTGAGAGAGAGAGAGAGACGCACGTGGGTTTTTTTCTATATTAGGATACACAATTAACACACTCATGCTTTTTAGCGCAATTTCCATTCTGGAGAATTGCGTTTATTAACCCGTCATTTCTGGATGTATGAATGAATGGATGTGTGTCCACAGCTTTAAGTCGTATCTCCTTCTCAGCGAAGCAATATCGAGGACTAGTTCCAAAAGCAATTATGTTAAGCAAGTTACGAGGATGAACATAGGCCAAAAAAATTCCGGGTTTCTTTCACGGAAAAGCCAAAAAAACTCGAAAAAATGCATTTTTCCCCCATATATCGGCAACCAGACCCCTTAGCGACTTGAAACATGTACCAATCGATTCCTGCCATAATTTAGAACAATATTGCCGAAGAAAGTTTTCAAAAATATCCTTTCGTTCGGTCACAAAAATTTTTTTGAATTAATTAAAATTTGGACCGAATTAGTAGGCATTTTTATCCAACCACACCACACTCGTCATCACGTTCAATAGCTGCGCCATCACGTTCAATGGCTGCGTCATCACGTTTAGTAGCTAGGCGCGCAATGGTTTTTAGTCATGTAACTCTATTGTAAATAAAACATGTATTTTAACCAATGGTTTTACTAACCCTGCTCTTGATTTACGCTACGACAGAGCTATTTTTAGATAACATAAGGAAATTGCGCTAAAATTGTCACTAGACTTTTTAATTACCTTGTTTTTTCTTTCCAGATGGTTCATTCTAAAGATCAAGTGATGAAAGGTTTTGATAATGTGATGGACAAAGTTTCAGAATCTGTTTCCGAATCAAGTCTTAGAGTGAAAACCAGTTTCAATACTGTTTTGGACAAAATGTCCAAATCTAAGGATAAAATGATGGTGGAAATAGATAATGTTATTGATAATCTTTCTGCTTCTAAGGTTTTATCAGAAATAAGGGCCTTACCAAGAGGTAGGTACTAAAACTACGTTAGATAAAAGTAAATTTATTTGTAACTATACTTTAAGTGCTAGTTCAAGTGTCAAAGGTGTTATAGGAATGGAGTTCATTAGCTTTCATTTTTACTTTCTCGTATACACAGTTTAGAGGGCAGTATTGTAATCGTGCAAAAAAAA